GTCGCCACTTCTCATCTTCCAGCTCCCCCGCTACTCCGCGCACTACTAAAGTTGTACTACAAAGTCGCCAGTTCTCAGCTACTACCCACTCACCAGTTCTCATCTTCCCACTCCCCAGCTACTCTGCGTACTAAAGTTGCACTGCCAAGTCGCCAGTTCTCATCTTCCCACTCCTCGGCTGCTCTGCGTACTATATTTGTACTACCAAGTCGCCAGTTCTCATCTTCCAGCTCCCCAGCTACTCCTCGTACTAAATAAAGTTGTACTCCAAAGTCGCGAGTTCTCAGCTACTGCCCACTCATCAGTTCTCATCTTCCCACTCCCCAGCTACTCTGCGTACTAAAGTTGTATTACCAAGTCGCCACTTCTCATCTTCCAGCTCCACAGCTACTCCGCGTACTAAAGTTGTACTACAAAGTCACCAGTTCTGAGCTTCCAGCTCCCCAGCTACTCCGCGTACTACAGTTGTACTACAAAGTCGCCAGTGCTCATCTCCCAGCTCCCCAGATACTCCACGCCCTCAAGTTGTACTACCCACTCGCCAGTTCTCATCTTCCCGCTCCCCAGCTACTCCGCGTACTAAAGTTGTACTACAAAGTCGCGAGTTCTCAGCTACTACCCACTCATCAGTTCTCATCTTCCCACTCCCCAGCTACTCTGCGTACTAAAGTTGTATTACTAAGTCGCCACTTCTCATCTTCCAGCTCCACAGCTATACTCCGCGTACTAAAGTTGTACTACGCAGTCGCCAGTTCTCAGCTTCCAGCTCCACAGATTGCTCCGCGTACTAAAGTTGTACTACAAAGTCACCAGTTCTGAGCTTCCAGCTCCCCAGCTACTCCGCGTACTACAGTTGTACGACAAAGTCGCCAGTGCTCATCTCCCAGCTCCCCAGATACTCCACGCCTCTCGCCTGCATTTCGCGCACTCGACACGCACGATCTCCGCAGAGGGTTGCGCGGGCACCCGCCCAATCGCACTCTCGCCTGCATTTCGCGCACTCGACACGCACGATCTCCGCAGAGGGTTGCGCGGGTAGCCGGCAAATCGCACTCTCGCCTGCATTTCGCGCACTCGACATGCACGATCTCCGCAGAGGGTTGCGCGGGCATCCGGCACATCGCACTCTCGCCTGTATTTCGCGCACTCGACACGCACCATCTCCGCAGAGGGTTGCGCGGGCAGCCGGCAAATCGCACTCTCGCCTGCATTTCGCGCACTCGACACGCACGATCTCCGCAGAGGGTTGCTCGGGCACCCGGCGAATCGCACTCTCGCCTGCATTTCGCGCACTGGACACGCACGATCTCCGCAGAGGGTTGCGCGGGCACCCGGCACACCGCACTCTCGCCTGCATTTCGCGCACTCGACACGCACGATCTCCGCAGAGGGTTGCGCGGGCAGCCGGCAAATCGCACTCTCGCCTGCATTTCGCGCACTCGACACACACGGTCTCCGCAGAGGGTTGCGCGCGCAGCCGGCAAATCGCACTCTCGCCTGCATTTCGCGCACTCGACACGCACGATCTCCGCAGAGGGTTGCGCGGGCACCCGGCACATCGCACTCTCGCCTGTATTTCGCGCACTCGACACGCACGATCTCCGCAGAGGGTTGCGCGGGCACCGGGCGAATCGCACTCTCGCCTGCATTTCGCGCACTCGACACGCACGATCTCCGCAGAGGGTTGCACTTTCGGTTGACGCTGTTCGTCCCGCCCTCCGCCTTTAAGAGAGAATTTATAGAGTGGGGAAATGTATTTTCATTAGGACATCTCCCGTGCTAGTTTTCCATACTCACACTTGCCTACTCATTGCATGCTTGCATGCCATGCTCGAAGCATGCTTGCGTACCCATCACTTGTATACTTACACTGCGTGCTTGCCGAGTGTCAGTGTGTATGTGTAAGTGTCAATGTCGAAGTGTCAGTGTATGTAGTGCGAATGTGGTGGAAGTGTCAGTGTGTAAGTGTAAGTGTCGAAGTGTCAGTGTTCAACGGATTTTCCGGAAGAACCCTTCGCAATGCTTTCGGGAAAAATAGTGTCTAAAGGGATTTAAAGGGTAATGCTCTGTGATGCTTTACACTGTTTGGGATGCATTTGTAATTAAGCCTAAAACTAGTCGTCCGGCATATTCTCAAGTTCAACTCTTCAGCACCGCGTTCACTTTCTTTGGCCTGTGTCATCTTCAGTTGTAGTGCAACTACCATCAACTACCCTGAGGGAAGAACACCGTTGCAAGAACTTAGCAGGGCTGGAGTGGCCAAGGTGCGCGGAGAGCCTCGGTAGTGCTCGTAACTGAGAAGTCTTTCCTGAGTGGACTTGGAAAATTGGACCTTGAGGCCTCTTGGTGAGCCTCTGTGAGGGAAACATGTGTGATGCATGGGGCCTGTTTCCCATCACTCTCGGGTTCAAGACCACGTGCCCTGGATGTCCCGTCCTCCAGAACGATCCCATCTCTTTGCATCATTTGCGGGCTGGGGCATAGGCGCCAGCGCAGGACGGGCCATCCACCACAAATATGTCCTGCTGAGCACACCGCTCGAGCACGACGAAAGTGAAATAAAGGTCAAGGCAAGGCACTGAAGCACCAGCCATGCCAAGAAGCCTGAGCATGAAACAGGTCTCAGCGTTTCGTCTTCTGAAACCGTACAAGGGCGCATGGCTTCAAGATTCATGTCGTAAGGACTTCAACCTCACCAAGCGGCGGTCATGCCTGCCATAGCACAAACGGCGCAATGCCAGAGCGGTCCACTCGTCACCCACGCTGATCAATGGCTATTTGGAGCGGGAATCATCTTGCACAGTGCTCGGGCTGAAGGAAGAAGAGTCCAGGCACATTTGAAAGTCGTGGTGGGTCTGCCTGATTGTTCCCCTGAACAGTTCCTCGCAACAATCTGACAACAATATCAATAGCAATTCAGCCTGCATGGTTTTGTTTGAAGGTGTGGGTCATGTCGGCGTCTACATGTTTGTGTGCTTTGGGCTTTTGTCTGGTTGAGTCTGCATGGGCAAAAGCGGGTATGCCTGCAAAAGTGATGCTCATCAAAAGAGACATGCACGCAAGGGGCTATCTGAGGCCGGCCCCAAACAGGCAATTATTGATGGTGCAATGATGCCACGACCACTTGAACATGCAAGGCCCCTCTAGGAGAAAGAAAGCAAGTTGACCTTGGCCTCCTGACCTCCCCACCTCCGGGCCCCCGGCACCGTAGCGCAGCCTCTTCCGGACCTTGCAAGTTGCCAAAGTGCTGAGGGGCATCGCACAGGGCTGACCGAGCATATCCAAGCATACACGCACTCCAAGAACCCAGCTCCCGTGAAATGGCGGGATGAAGCTGCAAAAGCCGACAGGTGGAGTCCTGCAAGACAGAGAAGGCAGAGTTCCGTGGGCCAAAGGACCGAAGGACTGCATGCGACGCATCCGATTCCACTGATGGGACAACCACCTTTTCGTTGCGGTCGACAGGTGCGCTTGTCCGCCTGCCCAAGCGGCGTCTCTTGGATTGCCAAGCTACTTGGCAAGTTCGGATGTATCAAATTTCTGCAAGCGTATGCTTGTGAGACTCTTCAGGTGAGGGCTGCTACGCTTTCGCTGGATAGCCATCAGATTGCACAAAGCTCTCAGCTCTTAAAACATGGGACCACCTAATATAAATAGTAGTACTGTAATCAAATTCTAAATTGGAGGTATTGTTTCGATTCTATTTTTCGGAAAAAAACGCGTCGAAACCGTGATTGTTTCATCCCCATCACTAGCCATGGAGCAGCAGCCCTCACAAAAATGCAAAAATGGAAGCCTCAAAATGGCTCAAGGTTTCAACCCAAACTGATCTCAGAGTCATGAGGGTGGAAAGCCTCATGCATCCTTCCTGCTTGTGCAACAACTCCAGGCCAGCGCTAAAGGCTTGGTCAGGTCATTTGCCAAACAAAAGCGGCGTCCTGGGCACCTCCAATGCTAAAGTTTCATGCTAAAGTTCAGCAAATGAAAAAGATATCCTTTCATATCCTTTCGACCTTATATGCTTGAAAGGCTCGCTTTTGCGACTCCCTCTCAGGCTGAAAAACCTTTTCAGTGTATCCTGTATGGACACGCGTGGGGTTCATCCACGCTACACCTTAAATCGGCCTTGGCCAAGAAGAGTGTCACTCTGTTGAGTTGCCAACAAGTGTGTCTCTGTCCTGACGTGTGGCCCAAACCACAATCCAGCAGTCCTTTTGACTTCTGGTGGCTGCAGTATGCTATGATCCGGAAAGCTGCTAACTTTCTTCTTCAGCTGCATTTCAGGGGCAAAAAGATACAAACATCATAAAGTAGTGCAGTCCCATCACCACCGGCCAATGCCAATGCAAAGCAACAAGGGGCAGCTCCAACAAGCAAACTGCAGGCCAAAACTAGCCTCACTCACACGTTAGCCCATTCCAAAAGAGTGCCTGCCAAGTATGCAGGACCATTGAGCACAAGGGTGTTGCATCTAGCTGTTCGGGGGGGAATCCTAGACAGCAAAGCGCAAGAGTGAATTTCTGCGTGCTCCACAACAAGCACAGTTTTGTTGTCAATACTATATGCTGCAAACGCAACTTGCCTAGGGAGATATCGTGCACTGTCAGGTTCAACACGACTTTGAATAGCACAAACCTGGCCTTCAGAAGCGACTCAACCAAGGGCAAAGGCTGGGAGCACTGCCCGTAGACATAACTGGGGCCAAGAAGAAGCCTGAGTTTCTTGAAATACAACAGCTGAATCCATTGGATTGCAGGAAACCATTCTTGTTAGTGCCTCTTCCAGCAAGAAGGATGCTACCAAGCTGCTCTAAGAGGATGAGCGTAAATGTGGCTGCTGTCATTGTCATGCCCAACACAACCACGAACTTGCACTTCCTGCAAGTGTCCCCTTGAATCACCCATGACACATATATACAGAGAGAGAGAGAGAGGGAGGGAGAGACTCAACAGACTTCTGCGCATGCAGATGTGGGATTTGCCACTAGGCATGGTGCGTTGCTGCAGCACCATCGACACTTGAAAACTGCAAAGTCTCACGATTATATAATACCCAAGGCCCAACTCGCCAAAGCTTATACAATTGGTGATCCAATTCACGTGAATTCTTTGGATTGCAGTGAGTGGCATCTCTGCCGAGCTTGATTCAAGACCCGACAAAAAATGCCCCTCCTGAGACCGTGCAGGCCCTTTGCATGATGTACCACTGAACGTTGGCCAAAGCGTCTGCGCAGCGTTCCTCAGTTCTACCCGTTGATTGACCTGTTCACCAGCCCCACCCCAAAAAAACAAAAACACGCACCCACACACAGATATATATATATATATACTGAGGGACCCATATATATATAGATATCATAAATATATATATATATATACAAACGCCGGAGAAATCTGTGCAAACCTGAACTCGCCTCCACATCAAAAGGTTCAATATGAATTGTGTACCTGAATGCCCAGGCTCCAGAATAGGTTGAGTCTCGGGGGCCAAGATGTGTCACGGCTAGCGTGTCCATTGCCACCTTTGAAGGCCCCTTTCTCAGCATGCTGGACACTGATGTTCTGCGAGACACGTTGTCACTGCCACCATGGGATTCAGGGGATGACGGGCTATGAAGCACTGGAGAGCTTGTGGCAGTCCTTGGAAGCGTCCAACCATTGAGGTCAATGCTTCTTACTGCAGTCGGCTATGTCAAGGGGCTTAACACGGGCAAAAACAAGCTGGGATACAAAAATGTCAACGATTCCAATACTATGTGCTGGGACACAAGTAATCATCCCGCATGACCACAGCCAGGCATTGGTACGGATACTCACATTCAAACGATTGGAAATACTCCATGGCTTTTGGAGTAATCGGAGCCTGCAAGCAGCTGTCCATGCCCAGAACAATCATGTCTTCCGTGATCTCGAAGGCCAACGCTACCCCGCAAATGATGAGGGCAGAATCCCAATTGTCCGGGAGCTGCATGGGTTTGGTGCCAAAAATTGCTGACAGCTGGTCTGCGAGGAGCCAGCTCAGAACCAGGGCAGCCAGGACCGCGAAGCGAGGGTATCCCAATGTCACTTTCACTTCATCATGAAGTTTGGAAAACAATGTGGGGGCCAAAACTTTCAAAGGTTTCACTCGCTTTGCCACGAACTCGGGCGCAATGTTCAAAATCTTTGAAGTGCTCCAAATGAGAGAAAACCTGCCCCAGCCAGAGCGCGCCCAAAGATTCAAAAAAACACCCAGAGTGAGCGCTGTAATGCCGCCTGTGCCTCCTGTGCGAACTGCCCCCGCCACCGTGGCTGCCAATCTGGTTGCTTCCGAAAATCCTGGGAAACCGGCGGTGCAACCGGCGAACAAATTTAGGAATCCATTATATACAATGTGTCATAGGAAACAAATAAAGAAATCAGTTTGGGCTGGAGCAGGCCAGAATCATAAGGCAGTTTTGACTTGGCCGATCCGAAAAGTGCAGCACCAAAGATCAAATGTTGCAAAACAACGGTTTGATAGGAGGAAGGCTTGCGAAGTTGAAATAGATCAGATCAGGTCAGGTTCCGTTGCATCGTGTAAAAGCCCAGCGCAACATCTGGAGTGCGTCGGCACAGCGGGCCGCGGCGAATCTGTGGTCCTAGTTGACCCACTAGACCCAGTTGAACAGGGTGTCCCGGTTGACCCAGTTGAGCGCAGCAGCAGCAGCAGCAGCAGCAGCAGTAGCTTGTTGGGGTCAACTGGGTCAACTGGGTCCGGAGATTGGCCCCTGTGCGGTCAGTTGGCGAAGGGATGCAGGTAGATAAAGGAACTGAACACTAATAATCTAAACAAGTGAACCTGCCTGCCAACATGCGCAAATCCAAAAAACTGCACAAGTGAGTCAATGGAAGAACTAGGAGGTAAGTAGGAAAAACTGCCGCAATAGAAGCTTGTAGTTCACTAAGCGGTGCGAGCCCCCAAGGCTGAGATCTTGAGCCACCTGTTGGGGCCAGCTGCTTGGCAAATCACGCAGTACCAGTGACCGGGCATCCCAGGTAATGACGCGGAACTAACATGAAGCAAATTCGGCTTCACATCCGTCATTCTTTTCGGGTGTTGTGCCGGGTGCGCAGGGGTTCGCCAGGAAACCAGCGCAACAGGAGGCAACGTAAAATACGCCAAATACGCTTTCATCCTGTGGGTTGTCGCATGGGTTGAATGAGCCTTTGCCAGGACAACGGCTTCACGCAGCCAAATGACTTTTGTCTTAAGGCGCCAAGTTTCGTTTGGTTTAAGTGGGATTCTGCCAGGCGTTCCCATTGCATCCATTGAACTCAAGCTTTTTGGATGCCAAAACAGGATTTGTCAGGGGTTTGGCTGTATTCACACTCACGGATGATTTGCCATTCCATGGGCGCGCACATCAGCACCTTACAAACAGAAATGTCCGCTTGGCCTTCGCCACGGCCAACTGATAAACTGGTGCCTTTGTGAGCAACTGGGCATCTTCAAGAATTCCGTCATACTTGCTGCTGCGCTGCTATGTGCAAGTCGAGCGGGTCGTGGTAGGGGGCCATTTTCGAAGTCGAATGCCATTTCTGACCTCCAGCCTCCAGCTGGACTCTTCGCCAATGAACTCTTTGAGCTCTTCACGCCTCAATCGGTGACGCTCTCAAGGTGGAAGGCTTCGCTGGAAGGCTGCTTTGAACGGTCGGCTTCGCAGTTCTTGAAGGAAGCCGCGCAAGGAGCCCATCAAAGACTCCCACGGAACTGCCAACAGTGAGAAACCAGGTGAGTTAGTGGAGCTGGCCAGTGTGAGGGCCACAAGGGCAATACAATACACGCATTGATCTTCACAGCTCAAGGGGCTCAAGCAACGGGCGGGCTACAACAATTGCTAGTTGGCCACTTCAGAAAGCAAGCCCTCTCTCTCTCTCTCGCTCGCTCTCTCTCTCTCTCTCTCTCCCTCCCTCCCTCCCTCCCTCCCTCCCTCCCTCCCTCCCTCCCTCTCTCTCCCTCCCACAAATCTCTCAAGTCTCCGCGTGGACTCGTTCTTCCTCATGTTCACGTGGGACTGACCGCGGCCCACAGACCACCCACTGCACCAGGCCTGGGCTGAATGCGATGGCTTCGGGGCCAGCTCATCTCCGACAATTGCTTTCATCCAGCCGGAAACCAACTGTCTGCGCTGAAGGCAAAGTTGGAAGCCACCGTTGTGTCCACCGAAGTTCGTGGACACTACACATGCTGCCCGGTCCGACCCCACGTTTCAGAAGGGCGCAGGCCAGCGCAGCTTTTGGGCGAATTTACTTTTTTGATCTGAACACGCAGTCAGAGACATCTCCTTCAGTTGATGGGGCCTAAGCTGTGTCTTGCCATGTGCCCTTGAGTTTCAAAAGCGCGATGGTAAAGACCCTCGCCTTTTGCTTCGCTGCGAACGAAGCAGTTCAGTCCTCATACTCGAGTTGAAATAATTCCGTTGTCAAGGCATTAGTCGCCAGCATCTTCTGAGGCCTCACCAGGCTGACGGCTGACTCCCAATGATCATGGCCGTCGGCTACATCATCTTCTGCCCCAACCTGGTATAGGACCTGTGTGCTCATTTACTGTATCCTAAATTGTTCCGATCTCCGCACACGACGAAAAGAAACCACCAAGTCCACAAATGCGCACAGCACCAAGTTATTCTATTGCGGCGTATGTATTTACATATGCATACAAGCGTTACATTGAATGACATGACATGACATCACATCACATCCATGCATTGCATTGCATTGCATTGCATGGCATGGCAAGGCAAGGCAAGGCAAGGCAAGGCATAGCATTCCATTCCATTCCATTCTATTCCATACCATACCATACCATACCAACATACATACATACATACGTACGTACGTACGTACGTACGTTACATTACATTACATTACATTACATTACACTACACTACACTACATTACATTACATTACATACATTACATACATACATACATACGTACATACATACGGAATAACTTTTTGCCACCCCTGCCACGTCAATCAAGAGGCCCAGTGACAAACGCAAAGCCTGGCAACCAACCCTGCCTTGCTCTTACCCAAGAACATGCAAGATTTTGGTAGCAGCCTGCTTGGGGAATATTAATATATAAAGCGCAGCCACAGACAGAAACCAAAGACATCATTTGTAGATATTTGTAGTGAAAACCCGTTCTCCACTTGTTGGCCCCTGAGTTTTGGGCCCAAACACCTATATAACTCTCTTGCTCTTCATGCGGCCGTGATTCCATGGGCGCAAGCAATTGCACACGGAATCACGTGCAGCCGCTGATCGCCGTCGATCGCACTGGCTTTACCTTCGTGGCGAGGATGAAAGACCACCATGCGGGTGGCTGCCTCAGGACATCATGTCTCCGAACCTGGCCTCCACCCTTTGTGCCCATACTAGTATGGACTTTGCACCTGCCATGACCTATTCATGACTTATGGCGTTTGACTCCACTCAACTCTCTACGGCGCAGTAGAAATTATGCCAGTACTTTCGAACAATTGAGCAAAGGCGCTGTAGTCCCCAGTACCGTTCCACATTCCAGCAACCAGGTGGTTACTGGAAGAAAAATCACGGAGAAGGAAGACTGCATTGATATGAGGAGAATGTAGACGGAGGCTGCCGCATAAAGTAAAAGCCAAACACCAAAGGACAAAGCAACAACGGTGCATCCCCAAAACAAGTGTCGCCAGAAGTTCTTGCTCAAACGGCCCATGCGCTTCTGCCAGCATAGCTGGACCACTGAGCATCCGATCAGGGTCATGGCACCAGAACTCACCATCATCATTGTGCTTGGAATCCCAAGGCCCAAAGCTCTGAAGAGGTATGGGATGATCATCGAGACGGCTACGGAACAGACTGTAATGATGGCATGGAAGGAAGGGTATGTATAGTGTGCTGCAAAGGCCTCTCCCCAAAAACTGCTGCCGAAACGATATATCGGCACGCAAACGATGAAGAGAAACAAGCCACGGCAAAGCTCCAAAATGCCAGGGTTGGAATGGGCTGTCAGCATCCAACCCGTGACATTGAGACCCAGGAGCGGAAGAATCAGCAAGGTCGAGAGGAGAACATGAGCCTTGTCAAACATACCATAGGGCTTGGCTTCTTGATAGTCAGTGGCAACCTGGTTGACAAGGTCTTCGACCCCCTTTCGCCTCAAGAACTCGCCAAGGCTGGGCACTTGCTCTGCTGCAACGCCTGCAAGATTGATCACGTAGCCTTGCAAGGCCCAAACCAAGTCCTCCTCCTCGTTTTTGACCATCACCCCAATCCCATGTCTTCCGACCTCGAAGATTTCAAGATTCTGACCAGCTGACAGTCCAACAATATCTGGCCCACGAAGTAGCCAATGTCTTGGCTTGTAAGCTGCTAGCTCCTTCCAGAACTTGCTATCGGGTCTGCTGCTCTCCCTCGGGGGAGGATCCCAGGCATGCATCAGGGTCTCTCCAGGAACTGTTTCCAACCTTTCTGGCTCAATACCTTCGGTATCGATGATGCAAAGCCTCAATCCCTGTCGCAAGCGGGTCCTAGCCATTTCTAGCAAATTCGCATCTTCCCCTATCAAAATCAAATAGTTGTTGTAGCAACCTCTCAGAGCAGCTTCACTGAGAGCGAAATTGAGATTCGAGCAACTGGAGACCCCCATGTCGATCTTGGGTTTCCATGTCTCGGGAAACTCTTCCTCCGATGCACTCTGGTCCAAAATGCTGGCAACATCCACATCCCCTGTCTTGGTGGTCGGCTGGTCAAGCACACCCACCGCAATCTCCGTCACGTCAGCCAGCTGAATCTGATCATCTTCACCTAGACAATTGCAAGGAGCGCAGTGAAACATATTGAGCCTCGGGCTTCGCGAGGCTGGCAGGATCCCTGCCTCTTCTGAGCCAAAACCAGTGATATTCACACAACTGACATGGATCTCAACATATTTAAACATATATCATATATAGGTTGGCTCCAAAAAAGGAAATCTTCTAGTCAAAGTCTTGCAGGAGGAAGAAAACAAAGATTGAACTCACAGCGTCCATCATTGAGGCACACGCATTTCCACGCTTCTGGGCCAACTGAAATGCTGTGAAGCCACCGTTCCTCCAGCACGCTCGCACTGTTCATTACCTTCCAACCCAAAACAAGCAACCTCAAGGTTCAAATCAGATTCACAGAAGTGTACTAACGAGATCTCCAATTGAGTCAAGACTCCCACATGCCACCATGCCAAGTCTCACTAAGGAATCCAGCTTTGGGGGCTCTGGGGGGGCCAAAGTCGTCAAATGCCAAGAGGCTGCGCCGCCAGAACCTCAGGAAAGTCCCGGGCACATGTGCTAACTTTTTTGGTCACGCCAAACGATCCAACGTCAATGGCATTAATGTCTTCGAGATTGGCTTCAACCGGACCCGAGTTGACAAGTAAATTCTGGGAAGCAGTTAAACTGGCCAACACGACAGTTGGTGCGCTTTTGCCTTAGGTCTCCCCACGTCGCAGCGACCACTGCCCAAAATAGCGCTGCAAGCCTGCTTTTGGTGACTGGGGGGAATATGTAGAGGAGGAGGAGGAGGAGAGGTGGCAAAGGCTGAACTGCAGAGTCTAGCAAACAGTTGAACTGTCCAACATTCAAAACAGCATAAAACATCATAAAACAAGGCTTCTTCGAAGACATTCTCAATTGTGTATATAAGCCCACCCCGTGTGGACTATCAGCAGATTGGGAGGAGGCTCACGAACATTGCGGCCTCATCGTGGCCCAGTTCTGCAGCACAGTGCAAGGCCGTCCACCCTTTCCAGTCCTGTTGCGTTGGCTCATTGCTGCCTCAATATTGTTCTGGCAACATGCCGAACATGCATTGCCCAGGTGTTGCAACCATCAATCAGTGTTGAGCATCTCCAAACAACTCCCATCATTTGCTGCAGGCTGGAACTCACCTCATGCCAAAACGCTGTCGGCCCAAACAAGCGTCCTTGGCATTTGCCGCCAAAAAGTTTGAGTTCGCCTGGGCTGTCGAGCAACCCGCCACCAAACTGCAGCTAGTCAGCTACGGCTACTGTCCACGTGGATTTACAAAAACAAGGCATGGGCAAAAACAAAGTGTGATTCGGAATGCAGCCGGTGTCATAATACTGGCAATGCTCTTTAGACGAGTTGGTGACAAGGCTTGTCCTCGTGAATTTGGGCCAGCTGCGCTGGGCGTTGCCCGAATTGGGAATTGCATGGTTTTTCGGGAGTGAGAAAAGAAGCAAACCGTCATTTGGCCTTGTATCACCGCCAAAGAGTTCCATTTCATCTACCACCCATCATCGATTCATTGACATGGATAGCAACCTTGCAGAAGTCTTAATTTAATATAGGCGGTGTCACAGACTTCTGGCAACTCGGTTGTCGGCCAAAAGTGCTGAGCAGACCTGGCAGAGTATCTCTTCGCGTCTGCATGTGCAAACCAGCTTGGAGATAAAGTTATCCATTCTAGATGGACGAACGGTCGGTTGGCAGGGGAGAGTTTTAGCATGTGTATGCACAATGTAACATCGCACCAGCAAACGAGCAAACCAGCAAACCAGCAGCAGCACCAGCCAGCAAGAGGTAATATGGCGGAAAGGTGTCGAAAGGTTGCCGCAAAAAGAAACGCTAAGGCCGCTAAGGATACCCTAGGAGCAAGGACGCTACTAGGGGCTCCTGGCCTTACTACTAAGAGCAAGGACGCTACTAGGGGCTCCTGGCATTGCTACTAGGAACAAGAAGCTACTAGGAGCAAGTTCTAATGTGTACAGTATATATGTATATATGCTTATATATATATACAGCCAGATACACACATAGGAAAGCTGATAACTGGGTCGGGGCACACATGCAAGGAATCCCTGGGCCACGGAGCGCTGTGGTAACGTTTTGTGTGGTCATTACGCGTGTGTGCGTGGAAACTCTGGAGTCACAAGTGTTTTTCTTCCGACTTTTTCAGCCGTGTTTTCTTCTAGTTTGGGATTGTAATCTGCCTCACCGGGGGGCGCTCGTGATTTATATACGTTTAATGAATTAAGACAGTCATGAGTGGCTGTCCGACCTTTGAGACAAGGTCTCCTAGTTTGCACCTTAACGAGTCATGAGTGTCCGTTTTGATCTTTTGGGCAGGGGATGGCAGGGGTATCAGCCTTCCAGCGACTCATCGGAAGGGAAGTGGTTGGGGACTCTCTTTCTCGCTACAGAGTGATTCTCTTTTCTCGCTCGGAAAGCGAGGCAGAGTTCTCGGCTGACTTGTCCGTCGGTTTCTTTCTATTTTGCATTAATCCGACTAATCCTATTAGACCCCTACTTATGCTACAGACTACAGGGCGACTCATTAGTCTCAGACTTGCTAGTCTGTCGGTCCTCTTCCGTTTTCACTACCGCTATGAGCGATTCTTTTTCGTCCCGCTCACCATGACAGGGGGATTTCTATGCTATCCCTTTTTTTGAAAGTCCTCTGATCTGACTCCCCTGCATCACCTACGTTCTCCCTTTAACCAAAATATCTTCAGGCCTTGGAGCAATCAAATCGTCGCGTCATTTCCCAAGTGTGTTTCTCAATTTGGGAGCCCGGAGTGTGCCCGAAGTAGTGCTACCGTGGTCCAGCCGCAGTTTCCATCGCGACGATGAGCAGAGCAGACCACAGCGGTCAAAGGGTATGCTGTGGAATGGCCCCTTCCTCCACAAACCCTCGGGGGTCACACTACCCACCGGGAACCAAAAAATAGATGCTCTTTCCACCAGAAGCCACCCAAACGCAAAAGCAGAACAAGCAAAAACCATTAAAACCAAAGCTAGCAAAAGCAAAAGCAGGTGCAAAGGCAAAAACACAAGAAAAAGCAGAACCAGAAGCAAAAGGAAAAGCAGGTGCAGAAGCAAAAGCGGAAGCAGCAGCAAAAGCAAAACACTACTCAAAAAAGATCCCACAAATGGCTGGAAAAAAGTCAGGTTGCATGAAGAATCGCCACTTGTGACCCCCAAAAACAGGTCTTGTAAGGAAGGTTCCCCCGCCAGTTTAAGCTAAATTGAACTCAGGTAGCTGAAGGTACACTATGACACTATGACCTTTCATGAGATGCTCTAAGAGGGTGCAGAAACTGTGTAACAAAAGCACTGTCAAATAGCCATCTGGCACCTTGTTCTGACACCTCTTGCATGCATTATACCCCTTTTGAATCACGTGGGATTGCTTCTCTACGCCTCCTCCGCACCATAAACAGCTGGAGGCTGGGTGGCCCTTTTGTGGTCTGCACCCCGCAGTAGAACAGTAGAACCCACAACAAGTCAGAATAGAGAGACTCTGGACTCTGATACCCAAAGGCCTATTTGCCCTGCTTGCACTGAGCAACAGCCTTGAATTCAAGCGAGGCTGGGAACACAGTGCCATGGCCTTGGCCTTAGTTTCCGCAGTGATCTCTACAACCCCTCTATCGCCAGCACACGTCCGACTGATTGATCAAAGGGATATGTTTCAAGTATCCCTCCATTCAAGTGCCACTATAGTACAGTAGAAGGGTGCAAGACGGTGCAAGAAGTTCAAGAGGCCCTGCTTGCAGCCACATGTAAAGCACTGTGTCCAAGATTGTCCTGGTGTCACCAAGCTGCGTCTCCAAAATCTGGAACTTTGAGGACCGGTGGTGAATCGATCTGCTTGAACCCCCAAAAAATCTCCTGCACGTTAACCTCTGCAAACTCCGGGCAGCTGAGCAAGGCCCTCGGAGCCACTTCAAACATTAAAAATTTATTGGAAGACCAGTCCTATGCCACACTTTGGATATAGTTACATAGTTGGCGCATTCAACTACAACAACTCCACAAAGCACATCATCTCTCCCGCTCCACTCCAAAGTCCTGAGACTTAGACTTCACAACTAAAGAATGACCTTCTTCCGCTGCACTATGCAAAGGAGTTCGGCCACTCGTACTCCTGTAAAAACTCCGGCACGCTGCCATATCGTTTGTGTCGACTTTTTGTCTGCCATGAGTGAACACCATTTGGAGGCTGTTCAAGCGTGGGATTGCCTTGCTGGGCCTTGCCTCTCTTGCAGCAGACGTGGATGCTTCAGCAAGGCCAGGACGGTCGAAGGCTGAGGTTGCAAAAAGCTGCCAATCAAAACCGATGGGATTAGCAAGCAGGCCGGGTGTGTGGGTGTGGGTGTGGGGTTTGATAAACAAAATACAGTATAAAGTCTGAGCCCGGAATGGTTTGGGGGGATCGTGTCAGGCCATCACCCCAAGGGCATTTGCGCATTTGCACAAAGAAGAGGGTAAGTTTGTCGTCTGGAAATATCCATACAGAATTCTTTGGCAAGGTCAGCTGGCTGTCTACCTACCTATGGTAGATCCAAAAAAGCATCGCAACAGAGCAGCCTACCAAGAGACCTAGCAAAATTACCAAGAACAGATCCAGCTCGCAGGACTCAAGCCCTCCCCACTCTTCTGATTCTGAACGGGCATGTAGACAGTTTTTGAGCGGGCTTCCTATGGATCTTTGCCCGTCTTTGGCTACCCCCGGCTCGGGCAAATGTTTCTAAAGCTCAATCAATATGCTCATTTCTATTCCATCTCAGCCTCTGCTCAGCCCATTGAGTTTCACACCCAGCTGTGCTTCGCAGCAAGGTGGACTGCCGTCTCACCCAGGCTGCTTGTTCTCCTTCTGTGGAAGGATGCGTGCAGTGGCCGAACACGAGGAATCGGGCAATTGATTGGTGAATCACGGGGCACCCCTGGAATTGCGGTCCACACCTGGCTCTCTGAAACAATCAAGTGAAGCAGCGTCAAACGGTTGCTCCTCAAGGTCGATTCTCTCAAGAGGTGGTTGTCCAGCAGTTTCTGGCAGAAGGTGGTCAACCCCCGTTGGGCACCTTGGCTGAGTCGAATCGCACCGGCATTTTCTGGTGCCCAACTCCTCGGGCAACCTTTTCCATAGCACTATTGGTCTTTTTTGTGGTGCTTATCCAAGGCGCAGGCCTTGCACTATATTATATACATCTGCGAATCTCGGCCGTCGTGAACCCACGGCCCAACCGAACGGCTGAACGCTGCTGCGCACGGCAGTCGTCTCTTGGCCCCGACATCCCCATCTTGGGGAAGAGCCAATGACATGCACAGCAAGCGCCATGGAGTGCAGGGCCAAACAGCGACAAGTCACCAAAATCAAACTTGCACAGCGGATCGGAGTGGTTCTGCAAGAAGAAACAGGTCGCCGTGCACTCAACACACGGCAGCCGTGTGCGCAAAATTGATGCTGGCAAAGTGATGCCAAAAAATTGCCATGGGTTCTCAGCCGTGAATTTTGGGCTAGTGCTGATGTGGGTTTTTCATTCTGTCTGTGCTGGTGAGGGGGGAAGGGGCATGAACAACTCGCAGGTGAATCTCATCAAACCTTTCTGAAAATCACACTTGGGTCGATGCTTTGATCCTTTCACTTGAGCATGTCAGCTTTTCAAGGCCTCCGCAACCTCTTGCAGCTCACCGGGCCATGAATGCCTGCAGCATGAGTGCGAGAAGAATGCCCAAATCTGCGAAATTGGACATGTTCGATTCGCAAACGGTACCTTAACACATCAAGGGGGCGCGTTCAAAACGCATGCCTCGTAGGAGCCGCCCAGCAGCAGCTGCAAGTCGCGTCTGAGCTCCTCTCGAGTGAGGCGCCAGCCTTTCCTGCAAGGTGGTCAGGTGTCCAGAAAGCATACTATATACACTATATATGTAATTACTAATTGCATTAAATATAATTAAATGTTTTTAAGGGCCGGAGGGAGGTAGGCCGCCGTAGTAGTAGGCTTAAGTAAATGGTAGTACGGGCGAGTAGTTGCTCGGCTTGGACGTAGAAGGCTCCCTGGCACAAGTCACACCTCTCTTGTAAGCGGGCTATGCAGAGTCAAGCTCGCCGCGCCTTTTTCGGCACAGCACGCCTCACTCGTCCTGCTCCCATTCGTCGGACTCGTCCCCGTCGGGATCACTGCCTGCACTGCCCTCCTCCGCCAGCTCTGGGACTTTGGGCGAAGCTGCCTGGGAACCTGATCGTAAGTCTTGCACCAAATCAGGCGTCTTGCCAGCAGCCTTTTCTGCACATGTCTGGGATCGAGTTACGACTCGCCTCTTTGCTGGGCGGGCATCTTCATCCTCAAAATCTGAACCATCATCCTCCTCTGGCCAAAGGGTGTCGCTCGCGCCGTTCCCATTCTGAATTTTGGGAGCCAAGGTGGCGAAGTATGACAACAGTGCTTTGAGATCGCTGGATGCCACACTTTGGAACCTCACTTCCCCACCACTCTCTCGGTGAATGATGAGGTCCTCACCTCCAGGAGCACCTGTGCCTGCCTGTGCCTCAAGGATGTCATCGCCTGGCACAAAAATGGCCGGCTTGGGTAGGAAGGCCAATCCTGAACGCAGTGGATACAGGACTCCCAATTCACCCCTTTCAGCCCTCGCCTCCGCTCCCTCCAAAATGCAAACTGATGCCTCTGGCTCCAGCACCGTTGCATTCACGCATGCCGCCACGACAGCCGACACCACCACCGCCTCCTCGGCCTCCAAAGCTTCCCTTAGGGCACGCTCACATCTGTCGCGTCTTGCACACGACTTGGGCCCCAAGCTTGGAGCTTGCAGCTTGGAGCTTGGCACCTTCACACCCTCCAGCTTCATGACCACGCACTTGTGGATTTGCTTGCCCACGGTGATGGGGTGCTCTAGGACAAGAACCAGCCAGTAGGTCTTGGCCGGAGCTCCAGCTGCCCTCATAGCCTCTAGCTTCGGCAGCTTCAGGAGGTGCTTCACATCCGCCAACGGGATGGGAGGTATCAAAGCTTTCTTCCCTGACTGGCTTTTCAGGAAAATGCTGTCTTCAGTCATGATACAATCATGGCGCCCATGAGGTGCCACAAAGGAAATGCCTGGGAGCGTCAAGACAATTTCGTCCAAAGGAAGGGAGCCAGCAGCAGGCAATTGGTCCTCCACTTTCGCATCCGCCGGGGCTGTCACGAGCGCATCCACCCCAGAGGATGCACTTGACGGGCAAAGCACTGCAAGAGTGCCTTGCAGTAACTTCACTGTTTCTGGTTCCCCGAGTTTTTCCTTCAGCGATTTCGCGAAGGCAGCCGCATCCTTTGAAGCCACAACATCTTCGAAAGTCTGAGTGACTCCAAACAGGCGCTTCATGGCCAATTGCGGATGATTTTGTCGCTTTTAAGGGATGCAACATGCTTGCTACTGCTTGCTCTGCGGGATAGCTGTGTAGCTCGCAGCCATTCATTCACCGGCTTCCATACTGGCATACTAGGAAAGATGCGGTGCCGTGGATTGACACATTGGCACATGATGTAAATACTTGTAAAATCTCATGTCTTGTGCAAAATGTGCAGGCAGAGTCAAGCAAACTATTTGATACCATGTCAACGTCTTGCACCGGCTACTGGCAAGATCAATCCCATCAGGTCTCCTCAGAAGGCGCTGATAGTAGGGCACCTCAAAATAGCAAAAAATCATCCATTGGCCCTCGATGATTGAAAACACATGTCGCATGCTGTGCTTTGGTGGGCAATTTCATCGTGTGGACCCCTCAAATAATCTTGGTTCCAGCACATGCGCAAGGTGGAGACAGTGGGAAACAAATCCATGGAGGACCAGTCAAGCAAATCACCTGCAAGTCGTCACATGTGATTCTTGTGGACATTTGGTCCAATGTAGCCCACTGCAGCGGCTCCCCCATCACGTAGGCACCATGATGCACAACGAGTTTTTGAGGTGAAAAGCTTTGGCCATCCGTCAGGGCACCAGGGCTTCTCCGATGATCTGCCGAGAGTGGTCCCATTTGTAGAGCCTCAGTCCACGGCTCTTGGCTAAGCAGCGCTTCATAGAACTTAACTAAGCAGCACGGGTTTTTACACAGTACTTGAACTGTTCAAAAGCACGGTTTTTTACACTGTCGCTTTCCACAAATGCCAGTCGCATGCATGGTATGTCATCCCTCCAACGTGTTCTTTCCCTGTGCCAAGGCACAGTTGCTCCAATACCCGGCAGTCACTATGCTGGGCGGTGTATGCAGTTCCCAGCATCTCTGTTCGCATTTTGGTCAGCTCCTATGTCAAAATATGCCAAAATGTTGTGGTCTAAGTCATCTGAATAGGTGCTCTGTTGGGAGACAAAACCAGAATGCCAGACAAATGGAGGCTACGAGTCCAACGGTATCCACACAACTTCAAGAGTTTCAATATCTGACACCGCCAAGAGTGAAGGACTGAATCCAGCAACCTGCTCACAAGTTTGCAGAAGCGGTTTGGAAAAGAGTCAAGCGTAACTTGTAGTTGTCTGTCAAGGTTTGGGAGGGTGTTTCTCGTGCTGCCTTGCCTCAATAATGGATGGATTGTTGCAGTACCTCTGCACATCAGGGGAGGACAACATGAAGCCTCAACATGCAACATCTCTGTCATCGTATTCATGTCCAATGGCAGCGGCAACCTAGACTGATTCCAAGGTTCGCACCACCAGCAGCCATAGAGGTGCAAGTTCCGGGTCTTCTGGCAGACCACCTGGCTGGTCAACTGGCTCCCAGCGCAGGAAGTGCTAAAACAGGAGGCTGGCCCGCTTCAGAGATCACAGCTGAGCTCAAGGCTGTGAGCTCATGCTGATTGGCGCGGCTCAAAACCTGGAAGCCAGGTTGTGAAGGCAAGAGATGTGGCAGAAGAACAGGAGATGGGCGAGGATGAGATGCAAAAATGTTGGAACATGCAGGAACTTCAGAAGCCTTTATTATATAGCTACTAGGAACAAGTGCATCGATTCTAGTAACAAGTGCCTGACTAGTAGTAACAAGAAGCTATTGTAAGTTTTTACATGAAAATAATACAGCATCAATATGGCCTTGGATCGTGGATGACCGAGGAGAATGAATCGCTTAGAGCATTGGTTTTGAACATCTGCCCCACCGCATTCAAACGTCACCGGACAAGTCAGGAAACGGGTTCTGAAGTTCTGAAGTAGCTAGCAAGATCTTGGGCAGCAATGATACCTCAAACACGGCATTGTGCTTGGTTCTTCCACTCCATAGCTAAGGGGCGGTCACCAAGAACTTAACCTTTGGAAATTTGGCGCACAAGGCCTGCCGACTGCGGGGCCGAGGCACGCACAGTGACGCAGGGCTGTGCAAAGAAGGGAGCGGGTGCAAAAAAGGAATACGAACGGGTGCTTTGCACTGCAAAAGTCAAATTTGCAAAGCATATGTTTCACCATGATGAATCGTTTTGACTTGCCCAATGCCCATGGATTGGGATCTCGGTCTACAGATTGAGTTGCGCACGCACAATTCTTTCAAAGCTTCTCCTGAAGGGAGGCCACATCTGCGCTGGCAACGCCATCCCCACCACAGCAGGGATCCAAATCAGGAGACATCCCACGCCACGCGCCCAATTTCCTCAGCAAGCTTGGGCGTCAGTGCGTTTCAGGGTTGAGACGTTGTGCAAATGTTGGTAAGCCAAGAGATGGATGATGATGGACAAAAAGAAAGTAAGGCCCACTTTAATAAGGCGCCTTCCAAAGGGGGAGCGTCATTGAAGGAGGTCTTCCTTACCTTCTATTTGTGTTCTCTCTTTTCCTTAGGTCAACCCGGTCAACCCCAGGTCCAAGTGGAATTCCCATCACCCTGGTGTCGCCAGGATCCGGACAAAGCACATGGCATATGCCGGTATATGATACATGTAAATGTAAATACATATATACACACATATATCATATACAAATATATAAACATAGTACCAAGCTTGCTGTTTCAAAAAACTACATCTAACTGTGGGAAAACAGTGCAAAACACATGCTCCATTGGCAGGTCCACGCTTCAGCGCAATTGGCAATGATAGCTCCTGGAATGCAGAAAGCAAACACACCAAACAGTGACATATATGCCCTTCTTCAAAGCTCGTTGCAGAGACCCCAAGCGGAGCCTCGCAAACTGGCACCACCGCTTCCTCTAAAAGCTCTGATGCACCAAAGCCTGCGTAGGCCTGCACTGAAAACAGGTTGGTAGTGCGGCCCCAGCCCGTCTGGAGAATCAAACTTCCTTAGTCCATACACCTCACCCACTGCCCACCGCACGCGGAACACTTGTTTCTCCTCTCAACGCTGTCCACTGTCTTAGAGTGGCCCAAGCATTGGAAACACCTTCGCCACAAGAAAAACAAACGCAAGACGCTGGACACATGGCGATTTGAAAGGAGCTGGGCAATGGCCGGACAGCTGATGCACATAAACATACAGTAAACAACAAATTTGACTTACAGGATCTCCGATGTCATAGAACATTCTTTGCAAGAGACCCTCCAGGCTCTTGTGTTGTGCACTTTGGGTTGTCCATGATTGCTCACGGATCCCGGGGAAACGTCCTTGGTGACCTTCGCCAGCTTGACTGAACTGGTCGACCAGTGTTCCCAAGGAGGAATGTTACGGCAATGTCCCACCCTAATAGTTCCAAAATCCCAACCACGGGCAGCAGCTGAGTAGCGGATCTGGAACGAAAACGGCAGCTGCAACTAAAGTGCCTAGTACCGTCCACGGCTTCTTTTCAAAACCATGGGCATGAGCTGTCCACCCTGCATGCCTCATCGGATAGCTGAACCTATTCATGGTACATCTTTTGGCTGCACCTGTTTGTTGTTTGGACAGTTGACCCGTTGTACTTTACCTACCAACCTAAACATAAATACATTACACCACATTACATGACATTGCACTACATGACATGACATACATTGCACCTACTACTACCTACTACTAAAGACTACCTACTACCTACTACCTTACAACTACAACTACTACTACTACTACTACTACTACTACGACTACTACCACCACGACTACCACGACTACAAAACTGCTGCTGCTGCTGCTACTACTGCTGCTGCTACTGCTACTACTGCTACTACTGCTACTACTACTGCTAGGTGCTATATAGTACAACACACGGTCCGGAACCTGAACCTGAACTGGAACTGTTCCAGTTCAGGTTCGCGTTCAGGTTCGGGCCGGGCTCGTAACGTCGTAACGTTATACATTCCGTGACATAACCTTTTTTCACTGATATCTGATATCACATTGCATTACATTACACTACATTACAGTACATTACATAACATACATCGATCCATCCATACATACATGTTCTCAAGTTCTCACGCTACATTACATAACATTTCCGCACATTACAGCACATACATACACGCAGTACGTTAAACACATGACATGACATGACACTACATTCGCAGCCGTTGCTCCTTTCCTCTTTGCTCCTTTTGCAGAAGATCTCGACTGAAAACCCAGTCATAACCCGGCCGTACTTGGGCGCTTCTATTTCTTTCAGTGGCCTGTTGGCACAAGGGTTGAGGCTGGTCCGGCACAGCCTCATGAGCATAGTCCCTTTTGCACTTGCTTGTGTTCTCCACTTGTGCGCGAAACACTCCGGAACATCTTTTGCATGATTGGCCAACCTTCAGGAAACACAAAAATCGCACTCAGGCTTCAAAAGCAGAAGCCGAATACCTGTACCCGCCACCACTTTTGCCTTGATGTGATACTAGACTGAGACGGGCTCTTGGATTGCAAACAAGCTCTGGCCCACATTGGAGGCCTGGTCACGCGCCCTTGGTTCTTGCCTGATAAACCACCCACATTGGTTGGGAGTGCCTCGGACTCCCGCTTCCACTGAAATCAATCAATCCTCATGAGCTGGCATCTGGACACGCATTTTGTTGTTGAACCTGCCACTAGTCGCATCTACTCCCACCAAGTTTGGACAAGTTAGGAGTCCTTCAAGGTTGTTGCCGTGCCCTTTTCTTCGGTCCCCTGCCGTGTAAGGTCTCTTAAATGGCCCCGTGATGCATTGAATATCTATGCAAATGATTGCCAAGCTGCAGCATCCTTCCAAGATGAAGCTGGCATACGTATCACCGGTGATTGCTTTCGTTGATTTTTTGACTTGCTTGATGAACACCAGCTTCATGCTAACAGGTCCAAGACTGTTGTCATTGTCGAGTTGTTGCCATGAGGCTTTGCACAGACAGACACATGTGCAAATAGCAAGGCATGTCTTTGTGGAACATTTGTGGTGAATTGAACATTTAATGGCACGTTCGAAGTTTGAATTTCCATGACTGGCATTCTCAAGCTGACACACAGCATTTTCATGATGCAACGGCAGATTCTTCGTGATGACCCTCACTTCACGAAACGAAGCTATGCAACATTTCTCTGTCGCCGGCCAATGAATTTATTTGAGCCGGATTCGACACCCCGGCGCAAAGCTCAATCATTTTTCCCGGATGCTGGTCGGCCAATCCCACAACCCTCTTTTTCTGAGATTCCAGGCCCTGCGCCCGCAGAACACCAAAATTCAGGTCAGTTTTGGAGACGAGAACGGAAAGGCTTGCTATGAGCTCCACTTGGAAGCTTCTGATTCTCAGCACGCGCTCCAACATCCAAAGCGCCCGGCCTTAGCTCAGACGATTCAGCACCAGGCCTTCTACAAGGGCCGCTGGAAGGGCAGTAAGGGGCAACCGACCTCCCAAACACTGCGTCTAGATGCCTAAGAGACAGGACCTTCGAGAGTCCTTGATGACACATTTTTGATTTGGCTCTCACCCATTGTGTCAGCGTCACAGGAAATTAGTGACCAGGCCCTTGGAGAACTTTTGAACATGACGATCCCAGGCTGAGCCAAAGTTCACTGGACGACGTCCCCCAGTGAGACCTGACCTCCAAAGGCAGATTCCTTTGCTAGTAATTACAAGTGCCTCGCTAGTAGTAACAAGTGCCTTACTGGTAGTAACAATGTTTGCTATTAATTAGAATTCTTATTGTTACTAGTAGTAAGGCACTTGTTACTGTCCGTCGATCTACTCTCAATCTATCTACAAAAATACCTATATAATCACGATCAATGGGCTTCTTTGTTTCCTACCCTATCGCGTCCTATCCTGCCCTGTACCGCTTTGACCTGTATCGTATGTCCTTTTGCATCCTATCTTGTCCTGACCTATCCTATCGTACCCGTATAAAATCCCCTACCCCAGCCCTATCCATTCTGGCCAAGCTTCTCAAAACTATTCCGAGTGGACTCAATACCCATGCACAAACTAGTTGTGCTGTTGTCTTTGGGGCAGCTATTCAATGAGACCCCCTGTGCATTTGCATTCGCACTATGACCATGTCTGTGAACAAAGAGGCTTTGGCGTGGACAGCACGTCTGCATCCTAAGAATAATACTGTCTCTCACCTTGCCACATACACTGGCAAGCGTACGGCAAGGCATCTTCCACCAAATCCTTCTCTTCGCTGTGGATCCACTGGCCTGACTGTTATAACATAATTCTGTCCTAGTCCTGGACTTCTGGACCTGCCTCCTTTCAGAGAAGGATTGGACATGTGAAGTGCCTCGCCGTGGAAAAGCGCCCGCCCAATGCCAGTCACTCAAGCCGCCGGTGAACCTCACAGACTGAAAAGGCTCCAAGTGGTGGCATTACAGTGGCATTCGATGCTAGACTCTTAGTTGCCCACAATATCGCATCATAATCATATCGTGCTACCATCCGCTACCAAAGAACTGAATGCGCAGTCAAAAGATTTGCTTGAGGCCACGGCCAAAGTCCTATGCTGCTAAGAGTCTTATAGATGCATCGGTGGACTCTTGTGACTCTGGTGACTCCTGTTCCACTCCCTGAGGTCTCCACACTCCTGAGTTCCGACCCGGACAAGCGTCAGAAGCTAAAGGGCTGGTCAACGAGGACTTTCGAACCGATTGGCGATCAAGATGCGCGGACCGAGTCGGCCCTGATCAGAAAACCCTCCCAACAGGCCCAATGTGCCAAATGCAAAGCGGGCTGCTGGCTGCCTCAGCTCACGTCGGAGCGCAGGTGACCGTGAGCTGGGTGAGCGTGACCGTGAGGAGTGGGAGCGTTGGGATGAGGATCTTGAGCTTGAACCTAGGGATCCACTCAAGACAAAAGCACGGCCAAGAGTTGCCAAGAGTCCATCAGCCAAGAATATACATCTTTCTCCGAGGCTTCCTGGTAAGGCAACACTTGGCGCATCTGAGCGAAGTTCAAAGCCGACAAATGTAGGTGGGGGGGGGCAAATCCTTTGCATGGCTTGGCTGGACCTCTTGGACTCGAGAGCTTCAAGCTTGTACCAACGACCCCATTTGCAGTGGCGGCACTTCGACGCGATGAAGATCGCCTGGATAGCTGCGACTCCTGACAAATCATGCACGCAACAAGGACAATCTGTTCAATCTGAATCGCTTCCTACAGTACCTCAATACCTGCGCATCGATTCTCAGGTGTGCAACATGCAGGTGCTGACCCCTGCAATGCAAGCAACATGCACCACAGGAAGAATACAATACACTTCTTCGTGGCAGATGTAATACTTGCGTAAAGTCAAACCATTTCGACCATGCAAAGGACCCTTCCACGTTGTTGCAAGTTTCAGTAGGAGCTTAACTACTAGCTGCGAGCTAACTCGCCAACCCGCCAGTAACACAAAATATATCAAAATATTATTTAGCTGAAATCGATTTCGTTGTCAAATTGCTTGGGTCTGTTGCTTTGGCGGCTCTAACCTGCGGCTTGTCCAGCACACGCATCACAAAGAGCTTCACGATCACCGTTTGATCCTGGCGAACGAGTCGAGGTTGGAATAGCACCGAAATACGTGAGAGGCCTTTCTCATCTATATATCTATCTTTGGTTGTGCATTTCAGGAAAACGCCATTGACTCACCACTGCCACTTGAAGTGCTGAAAATCATTGGTGACCACCTCCAATTCGCACAGCACATGGTCTTATTTCCCCCCAAAAAAAATCTAGGAACCAAATCATTAGTGCAAGCGCTTCTTCAAGGAAGCTTCCCCCGGCCGACAGGGCGGCGAGGGGAGTTTCCCTGAAGATTCACGAGCTATCCTGCGTCCTAGGTAGTAGCTTACTTGCAGTTAATAGCTACTCATTTTATTACT